TATATATATATATATAGCTTCATGGATACAGAGATGGCCAATTTGATTGAGTCAGCAAACAGAGATTTAAATATAAATTAACTTACCTTCAAGACATGCCCTAGTTTCCTTGATTTTATTATGCCCTGCAAGTTTCATAACATATGAAAGATATTCAAATGATGACACCTTTAGTGTGTATTTGTTAGCAGTAGTGAGACTCAGCTGAAGCAGTGGAGCACTTGCTTGTCTCCCTCTTGTTTCAGACTCTACTGTTGTCTCTCTAATGTAATACAAAATTCACAGAATTGCAGTGAACTGAACAGTGGATTTTTTCTATTCACTTTAAACAAAACAAATTTGGAAAAGATTTAAAGTTAGTGGATATAAAAACTATGAACATATACAAGGGTTTGAATATGGATTATTTTGTGACTAATGCATTGAGCTTCATATTTTATTGTAGCAGCTCTTTCTTTAATGTAGCTTTAATTATATATTGTTAAATGGTGATCAAAGCCAAAAACAAATTAATAGGACTGCTTTAAGTTCATAGAAAAAAACTATGTACTGGAAGGACATAGAGTTAACTTAGTAAGTTGAACAATATTTGAACGAACTAACTCCTTGCATCTGGACCTGGCTCTCTTGCATTTCATGACTTTTTTTTTCTTCAAGTGTAACATTTAAAATTTGATTAACCAACTTTATTATCAATATCTATATTTACATTTGGCATGAAAATATAGTTTATAATTCATATTTATGTATTATATATGTTTTAATTGTTCCATAATTTCAAAATATTGAATTACATGATGTATGCACATCTCACAAGCATAACTTTGTGAGAATTTTTGTATTTAATTTTCTTTTTAACTTATGGTTTCTTATGTAACCTAATAAGTTTCTACGTTTTAGTTACTTTTATAACAATAAATAGAAAATTAACATAAAAACAGGAGATGTTATAATTTTCCTACACTGACACTATATTTCTGACAAGTACTTCTGCTCACATACATAGGTATTCTTAATCAGTGCTGCTTTTTGCTTTTCAAAATTGTTTTTACGTGCCACAAGCCTGTCACTCCCACATGCCCCTCAGTTCACATGGTTTAACTAAATCTTGCATGAAAATTTTCATTTAACAAACCTCCACCAATAGATTGTATCCCACATAAATGTGACTCATGTGACTCCCTCTACGCTATTCTACCTAACTATCACTTCGAGATTAGGCAGAAACCTAAGTACCAGTTGACAGTGGGGAGAAAAGGTGGGAAGTGTGAGTGGAAGTAAGTACCTGTTAGAAATATATTTTTGTGTAGGAAAATTATAACTTCGGACAAGGTATCTTATTTCCGCTCACATACATAGCTAGAATCCCACATTGAATAGGTGGAGGGACTGGTGCAAGGGAGAAAGTAGAAGCATCCTTCAAAATTGTCCAAAGGACATCCTCATGAGGGAACCCTCTAATAAGAGAATATACATGGGAAACTGCACCTCTTCTATACCAGATATACTCTTCACCCAGATGTAGAAGTTTGACAGATTCAGGCAGAAAACTGTGAAGCGTACATCCAAATGAACAGATGGGCAGTGATCCAAACCACAATATATTATACTTTTAATCTCCCTAAGGAACAGAATGTGGGTAAAATAATGGATATGCCCGAAGGTGTAGAGAGGGTAGGGCACAACGGACCATACACTGCAAGTCAACTGCATCCAAGACAAGGTAGGACAAGGATCATACTGTCATTAAGTCAACTACAATCCAAAACTCAACTGCCGGGAACTGACATACATGCAGGGATAGGAAAGAGGATCATACAGTCTTCACCTTAAGTTCAGTTGACCAATTAAGAAACAGGACACATGTAAGCAGAGTGAAATACAAATATATTCCATTCAAGTCAAACAGACCAAACCATCTCATACACAATGGCATCCTCAGCATACAGACATCGAGGGTTATCACAAGAGGAAGAAGTGGAGCAGCCAACAAGTGAACCCACCATGTCCTACAACACCAAGGCAGTGCACCCGAGGTAAAATGTGTGAGGGTTTATGGTGATTGTTTCAGCTATAAATCCAAAACTCAACAGCTGGGAACTGAATTTCATGTGGGAGTAGGATGAGGGATCCCAATCGATGGGGAGAATTTCATATATGCTAGCACACCACACCAGTGAGCAAATCATATTGATTGATTTGGCTCTAAATCCAAAACTCAACTGCTGGGAACCAACATCCATGCAGGGGTAGGATGAGGGATCTAAATTGTCACAACATGAGTGTGGGCAATAGGGTGATTGGTTCAGCTCTAAATCCAAAATTCAACTGCTGGGAACCGACTACCATGCAGAGGTAGGATGAGGGATCCCACTTATTGTAACGGTTCACTCCAAAGCTACATGATCCCTCAGATAAGCCTTTGCAGAGATGGAGCATCTTTTTTTGAATATATTCATCAACTATACAAGCAAGACACCACCCTACTCTCAACTGCGAACGACCCGACTTCTTGGCAGAAGGAGCTGATGGCAAGCCAATTGGTAGAGCCTAAAACTGATAAACATCCCCCCCCCCCGATAACAAAACAGAGGAAATGCTGGGATGCCTGGGAGATGGGAATGTGTAGATAGGCATCCAAACTGTCAACCTTCCTTATCCACAACCTGGGAGTGAAATCAGTTCAGGGATGGTAAATTTATAACTCATCACCAATCTCCTGCCTTTTTGGGTGTGACAAATAGATGGAAGTAAAACCCTGGCTCAGAAGTTTCCCCAAGTACTATGGCCTCTCTCTCTGAAGTAAGGCTTGAACCACCTACTGTAAACACAGACAAGAAACAGGATCCCATGTTGGGGGGGGGGGCAACAGATGATAGTTGTGTTGCATAATCATTTCATGTGGATATGCAGAAGTGGGAGGTGGAAGGCTACACAGATAGAGGGCAGTGCTAATCGAGAAAAGCTATTTTTGGAGAGGAGTTAAGATATCATATTGAAAGTTTTTTTTACAGAAGTATCCAAACACTATTAGAAAACTTAGTTCTCAGAACATACCATTGACTAAAGTAGTTTGTACATATTCTTTAATATTTTCTTACACCAGTAATCTTTGTTGTACTGTAAGTTATATATTTGGTACGTATTAGTACATGGCATAATACACATGTAATACATGGTTATTTTAAGACTTCAGACATACAGCTGTACACATAACTTCATTTTCTAAATATGGTATAGACCGAAAGAAACAACACGATACAAGTACTTACGTTTTAACGTAATCAACATCAGGAAAATCAGAAGGACAGAGATTTGTGAACCATATAAGGGGTGATTGAAAAACCACCATTGATTCTTGGGGAAATTCGGTGTTGAAAGTTTCAACCATTTGAGAAATCAAATTTAGAATGGTTTCATTCTGTGGAGAAAATTCAAGTCTTCCTCTGTCACCTTCTCGAGCTGATGTCCATTTAGCTGCTCGTATCAAAGTCTGGCCCATACTAACAATGGAAAATTATCATTGCACAAATGATATGAGGAATAGAGATTATAAAAAATATCTTCATACTGTAAACATGCACAAACTGTAAGTTTATGAAGCACCAAGATAATTTACTATTTTTATATCTTAAGAAGGAATATTTTGACACTACAGATTTAGTCTTTTATCTCAAAATTTAAAGCTTAAACTACCTATATCAATATATGTGTTAATACTTAAGCAATTTTTTTATTATGCTTACATATAGTTAACATATAAGTATCAATTAATCATAACTCTTTACAAGATTTCATATCATATTAGTTACAGGTACATTGCATACATAACCATACATTTCTCCTGCTGATGTAGTTAGCCAAAAAAATAGAAAACATGTTTTCAAAACATTACAAACAAATAAGATAGATCTTGCAATATTACACAACAGATCTAGAAATGATATTAAAAATATGCAATACTTTCAAAGTTGTCTTCTTGTTTTTTTTTGCTGAATTCCTATTACAATACAGTGGTACAGTAATGTTTTCTTTTAAAACAAATTAATTGAAGTTGACAAAAATGGTATGTATTGTAAATAATATCCTAACATATAGTAATGTTCTGAGTCTGCTGTATATTAGCTTATGGCAGATGGTGTCATGTCATTAAGGTATTTATTATAATGTGCTAGAGGTACAAAGCTGAAGTAAGACTGTGAGGTCCAACTTTGGAAATTTATAAAATGCTTGTGTGTCCTTATTTGCATGTAAGATTTCAGGTTAATAATTCTAAAGCTTTCATCCCCTTATTTTGTTTCAATGTACAAAAAGACATTAAATGTCAAACTTCATCCATTTTGAACTATATTTAGAAGTTGTTCAATGAAATTGAAGATCAAGACTGCAGTGACCTGGTACTGTATGTACTATGTGATATAAAAACATATTTGTTATGCATTATAAATTATTTATTCACAGTACATTATTATTTTATTGCACTTAGAATAGTATAATTACATAATTTGGTACAGTTAGTCACTTTTGCATTGTTATTGTTAGGAAGGAATCTTCTATGATCCTGCACAACTTTAAGGAGGAATTGTTTCTGTTCTTCATTCTTTGTTATGATGCCATTATACTCCTCAATAAGGGACACACCCCTTTCAACATTGTCATTTACCAAATTCAAGTGTTGAACTGTCTGTAATGCCTCCCTGTACTCCTCTCTGAGCTCTCATGACTCAGGATCATAATCCAGAAATACAGATAAAATTTCTAGGCACCTGAAGAAGTCTGCTACATTCTTTGTAACAAAATCTTCAATTAACATGTCCTTAGACTTCCTGATATTCAACTGGATGTTTTCATTCCCATTTAGTGCCTTTACTATTGTTTGTTTTGTCTCTGTGGATAAAGTTGAATCCAAGAATGTCAAAACAATGAATTCCTCATTGAGGTACCACAGAAATCCAGCAACTTTTTAACTGTCAGATTTTAAAGAGCAGAATTCACCATCTTATACTTCACAAGACACAGGAAGTTAAGATCATTGCAAGGAACAGAAATAGCATCAGGAGCAGTGAACCATTCCTTAAAATAGACTTGAACAACAAAGCTGGATATATCGAGGAGTCCTCTTTTCCTCACAGCTAGTGGGCTTAAACTGTCCCATATACATCAAGATCTTTAGGACATACAATGCCTTGACCATTCACCATGAATGATACAGTGTTCAAGGTGTTATAAGTCACACTCCATGAGGAGGAATCCCACCAAGAAAGGTTATGGCTAGTTCAAGAAGCTCTTGATAATCATCTCTAGGTTGGCTGACCTGAGCTTGTTTTGTGGCAAACTCATTGAAACTGTTCTTAACTTTCTCTTTTGATTCTGCTATATTTCATTATGGTCAGCTGCAATTTCATAATTGATCTGGTCCATGTATTCCCAAGATTACTGGAGTCAATTGAAAATTCCAATATCTTGACCAGAGGAAAGCCCCATTCAGTTTTGAAAAGATATGCCAAGACAAGTTCTAAGATATGGTGCCAACATGCCAAATACAAAAGATTCTTATTTAATCATTCTTCTAAAAGCACACATACTTCATTTCTGTGACCAACATTACTTGCTGTTGTGTCTAAGCAAACTGCTTTTACATGATCAGTAACTCCACTCTCTTCCAGCAATTGTGCCACAGCAGAAGCTGGAGCCTCTCCTGTACCAGAAATCAATACCCTATAGTTTGTTTACTCCTTCTTCAGACAGAATCACTGGTAGATAATCCACTTGTTCTTTCACTATTAAATCATTAAGGAGCTTGCTATCCCAATGAACTACTTTAAGTTTTTGACTTCATGAAAGCAATGTCAAGATCTTCAGACTGAGGAATGCACATCATGACCAAAGTTTAATGTTAGAATATTCCATAATAATATGCTAGAACAAAATAATCTAGAACCTCCTAGAATTATTTAAAATATTCTGTGACATTCTAGAACAGCATTTGTCCAACTGGGGTCTGTGAGTCATATTTGAAATTCCATTAAAATATTTACAAAAAATATGATTTATAGGATAAATATTATTTTTTGTAAAATTAAATTTATATGAGTTAAAAATATTTAATTTTGGAATAGAGCTTTTCATGTGCACAGAATGTCTTTGAAAACAAAAAAAAACATCAACAGGTTTGTGGATCTACAAAAATATTTTAAATTGAAAGGGTTTCAGGTTCTCGGGTTACTAAAGTTTGAGAATTGCTGTTCTGGAAAATTCATATGTGAATATAATGCAAGATACAGGTTAAAATATCACCTACCTTGTGCAACCTCTAAACATTATTCAATATGGATAAAATTTGGTGTGAGTTACAAAAGCAAGGAAAACTTCATGTGCAAACCACTGTAATGTAGAAAATGTTCAAATGTTACTTGAGTTAGTAAGTAACAAATGAAAAGTTTAAAAGTTCTGATTTTATATTTTGTGTAAAAACATATAGAGAGCACAATTTTCCTCTTGGGATCCCATTTTTTCCAAGTGGTTAGGTCCCCAGAACACACAAAATTTGAGTACTAATGCAAACACTGTATTTGGTTCATAGCAGATTTGCAAACATTCAATAATGCATTGCCATCATAGGTAGATTTATGTCTGAAGAAGTTTGTCCCAGTTTTTTCCAAGAAAGAATATTCTTATATCAAGATGGTCAAATGGTGTCCAAAGATCAAAATATTTCAAAGAAGGATGCCTGCAATGTTTCTCCATGGAAGAACAAATAAAAACTCAACAATAAAAAATGTAGACCAGCAAAAGATTATGAAACCAAATTCCAATTCACAGCAATGCTCTCACCTGTACACCAAATCCACACCCTTTCCATCATCAAAATAACAATTAACATGACAGAAAAAAAGTTAAGAGAAAACATATATATGGCATAATTTCCCTGTTGGATGTCTTTTACAATAACATATTTCACTAAGTGATTTTTGTCAAACTTTTATTTTTTAATCAGTCTCTAGAATTTATCCCACTACAGAAGTAAGACTAACTGCCCAGAGAAACTCTTATCACCTAATTTAAAAATAAAGAAACAATAGCAATTCTCCAATCCTCAGGCACCTGCAAACTGTCTACTGGCCAACCAATATTTAAAGAAAGGTTCAAATATTTGATCTTTTGATCTCCTTCAAAACTCTAGGGAAAATATTTTCTGTTACTGGCACTTTATCTATTTTTCATCTCTTAGTCTTTTTACTTACCACTAATGGATTAATATCTACATGTTTCACATCAATTCTAATATTTTCCAAACAATTCTCAGTGCCAGAAATATCAATAATACCTTCTTTTAAAAAACTAAAAGAGAAGAAAACATTTAAAAGCTCAGCCATCTCAAAGTCTTCAGCAAAAAGCTTACCATTGGCATCCTTTACAAGTATAATGCCAACTTTAACATTTTGCCTACCAATAATATATTGAAAACGATCTTTGCAGTTAATTTCATTATTATCAGCCCTTTCTCATAAACCCTCACTGATTTTCTAATTACTTTTTTAACGAAATCCCTAGCTTTTGCCAGGTGATTAGGGTGCTCGACTCGTAATCTGCAGGTTGCGGGTTCAAATCCCTGTCACACCAAACATGCTTGCTCTTTCAGCCATGGGGGCATTATAATGTGACGGTCAATCCAACTTTTCATTGGTAAAAGAGTAGCCCAAAAGTTGGTGGTGGGTGGTGATGACTAGCTGCCTTCCCTCTAGTCTTACACTGCTAAATTAGGGATGGCTAGCGCAGATAGCCCTCGTGTAGCTTTGCACGAAATTCAAAACAAACCAAACCCTAGCTTTCCTGTAAATCTTCCATCCTATCTATCAGTTTAAACTTCTTAAACTTATGGTATTTATCCCTAATGTTTTCCTTAAAGTTTTAGTAAGTCAGTTAAGTCAGATTTTTCTGTTCATCTTTCCCCTTTTTTTTACAAACATGTCTATCTTGAATTAAAAGCAAATAATTGTTCAAAATTTCTCAGTTCAATCCTACATCACCACATTATCCCAATTCACTAATGATAAAATTTGTTTCATAGCCTCAAAAGTGGTTCACTGAAAATTAGGAACTAATATCTCAACAAGTCATAAAAAATCAATCCTACTTATGCAATGGTCATTTCCCAGATGTTACATCAATTTTACTCTTGCAACTACATCTTCATTTGGTTAATAAATCTAAAATGGCATCCCCTCTGGCTGGTTCTCTGACTGTTTGGTATTAAACCCATCCTCAATCACTTCAAAAAAACTTTTCTCCCTCATTATTTATGGCCAAAAATATCATTAGCAGCAAAAGTACCCAACTGATGAAACAATGCTTTCCAATCTTCATACAGTGTGAACTTAAAAACAGTATATTTAATTAGTTATACTCATTAGTGGGTTGATTTTTATTTTACATCTAAGTAAGTGGCTTGATTTGATTGGAAGTTAATACTGATAATTCCACACAATCCCAATCAACGTGTCTAAAATTAAAGCCTCCTGTCATTATTGCATCAAGTCCATATCTGGAACAGTCCTGATTTCATTATACAATTTCTTTCAAGTTATTGTTAATTAAAAACTTATTTATCTTAAAACCCCTAACTATAATCATGTAGATCAATCTCTTTACCACAAGTGCTTTACCACAAACTGAACTTTACCCCTCATTTAAAGAATCAACCCACCCCTTTGTTTTAAAAGTCTATCTTTATTAGATAACTTATAACATAGAATTTCAAAATAATTTCTATTATCAATGGTCTCTAACCAAGTCACGTTTCAGTAATTCCTATTCTATCATATTCTTCTATTTCAATTTGAGCCCTGAACTCATCCATTTTGTTTCTAATACTTCTATCATTAGAATAATAACAACTATGCTTATTCATAAATCTTCTATGATTATTTTTAAAACTATAATAGTTGTTATACTGTAAATATACTTTTACCAATCTAGCTATCTTATCAATTTGTTTATTCCCAATTTCCCAAACTCCCTTCTGCAACTATATACTCTCTTAAATGAGTATTTTTAAAACTACCCCAAACATATTACTAACTAGCCCTTCTCTTGTGTAAAATTCACCCTTACTCTGAAAAATATCAAACACTTCCATCCAGGGGTGTTGATGAGCCTCCCAGACCTTATGAGGAATACCCTACAAAAAACTTCTTTTACTATTGAACTTTTACTGTTTCTGAAGCTTGTAATTAACAACTACTAACATATTTACAATAATGTTTTAAAACTAGAAACAGTGCTAAAACAGAATTAAACAATCACCATATTTTTTGATAGATTGTTTAGGCAGAATATTCATGATGAAACTTTGTAAAATGGATGGCAAATGACTGTTGTAGAGACACAAGTGTAGAGGATAACATTTCAAAAGTCTTCCACCTTTCGTCTTTAGGACCTCTACACTTGTGTCTCTACAACAGACAGTTGCCATCCATTCTACAAAGTTTCAATCACCATTTTTTTTTCAAAATCAAGTCTACTGGGACATTATTTTGGATTTCATGGAAAATCACACACACACAAATCCTGCCATACCACTTACTCATCAACTGTGTCCCCATGTAATATTTCCAGGAGCAACTTAGAGGCAGCCTCAAAATGTCCAATCACCTGGGAATTTTATTTTTGTAAAAAGTATTGTCCCACCCAATTCCAATCAACCTACCTTTCTCTCTATGTATATCACTGATGGTCTTTAAGTAATTCATTCCTAACTAAGTCTTATCCGAAGGTGCACATTAGTGAAAATATGTTAAGGTTACATAGACACCTTCCATTAGCATTCAGGTACCAGCTTCTAATGAGAATTGAGTTGGTCACAAGATTTATATAGTGGGGGCCTCTCTAATTAAGTATACTAATAGTAATTTTTAGTCTAGAGCAAAGAAATACTAGAACTACAATGTGATTGCCAGGTACTAAAGTATAGGGCATTATAGTGTGTTGACATTATAGTCATTGGTACCAAGTAGCATTAAGCTTGTAGGAGCAAATTATCTTGTAAACTATAAATCATAAAGGCTGCTTAAAAAATATATAGAGCTCCTTCATAGGTTTAAGGATACAGAAGTGCTACCACAATCTAGATGGGAAATGAATTACTAATCACAATGCAATGCGTATGTGAAAGATTATCTGGAATATGCTTAGAACACAAAAAAACAGGCAAACTCACTGGACCTTTGGGACACTTTTCAAGGTAAGGGTGAAACTAGAGATGGTTTCCAATTAAGCAATTTAGGTAGCAGGTTATTTATGACACTCTAAAGCAGTGATTCTCAATCTGTGGTCCATGGAATGGTTCCATAATTATGGAAAGAAAGCAGTAGCATAGTATACAGATTCCATTCTGGTGATCCACAAACATAAAAATTTTGAGAACCACTACTCTAAAGATATTCATTAAAGATAGCTTAAATTAAGCTTGCATAATGGTGATGGAGTTTGGGAAATTTTGAATAAACAAACTGATAAAATAGCTATGAAAACAATGAGTTTGGAAATAGAAGATTTTGGGCATAACAAGTAAAATACTTTTTTAAAGATAAATCTGTAAGATTTTACAATAAACATAGTCAATTCAAGAATAAGTTTAATTGTTATTCATCTAATGCTAGGAATATAAAGAACAAAATGGGTGAGTAAAACATGGTTAGATTTAGAGAATACTGAACAGAAACTGTTTTGCAAGTCACTTCTTTAAAAAATTTGAATGAACAGTTTTCAAATTCTGGCTAATACCCTACCCCTCAGGTTCAGGCATAGTCAGCCCTAATTTAAAACTGCTGACCAGACGAGAGCAGCCAGTCAGCAGCACAATTGATTTGTAAAGATATAGCATTCCCTACAATTAAAATTATGGAGTATGTTCAATAGCACATATTGCACTTAACTTTCTGATTCAAGGCCCAACATTTTAATTTATAGACCACATGTAGCCTCAGTTAGTTAAAATGCTTGAGTTTTGCCAATCAACAATTAATTTTGTATTAATCACATGTGAGATGTTTGAAAAGAATAAGGTGTAAAATTTGTCATAACTACAGCATCGAACAAAAGAAATAACACTCTGATATCTCACATTTGTAAGGGATTTTGAAACAAATGTTTTCTATTTTGTTGCAAGGGTGTAATAAATATTTAATATTATAACTTACATACACTATATGCCCCAACTGATAGTAAGTGTCAATGTGTTGTTTATTCTCACAGAGTTAGGGTACCTATCCAACTAATAATTTAATTTGCTCGCAAGTAACACAATTTGCTAAACTGTGAAGTTACCAACTCAAGTAGGTATATAATGACCTAAATAAATGTTAAATTAGATTAATACTAATAACTATTATAAAAAATATAATTTTTATACAACTGGAGCCTGAAGGCTTTACACTTACTTCAACAATTTAAATGCAAATTAAAATAATGGTAACGCAATAGCATTATTTATCATTTTATGATAATTAAATTGTATTTAATTTGAAAATATAATCTTAATATTTTTCTTACCCTTTTTGAATTGCTACTGTGCTAGCTTTATAAATAAAAATCAATATAAAGTAAAATTTTACATGTTATTAGATCAAAATAAGTTGCAAATATAATAAAATAATATTATCATAATTTGTATTTTAATCAAAGTAGACTACAATTTTCAGACCTTATTCTGTATGTCTGCTAAAGACTATTTGTTTCCAAATATTTACAGAGGGCGCTAGAGCATGACGCTATTCAGCGTCAGAAGTAATTTACATATAATATCTTATTTATTAAATTGCATATCTAAAAATGTTAACAGACTTGCCCTAAATTATGCGATATATAATCATTCTATATTTTTTCCTATTTACTTCCCTTGTTATTCTGATGTACTAATAAACGAATCTATTATTATAATTTGTGTATAAACTAAAATATTAAAAGTGGGGAAAAATAATTAAGGAATAAAACAAGAGCAATCAGAAAGATTGCATACCCTCGCCCCGCTGCTCCTTTTCGAGATTGCATGCGTTATATTGGATGATGTCAAATTTCACCTCCGAAAATTCAGAGAACCTTTCTCAGATCCAGAATGATCAACGACCCTAATCATTTTTTGTCGTATGATGAGGAGTTTCAACCTTAGTGTTCCCATTTTTGGTACAAATCTAATCACACTTTACAGTGTTATTAACCCAAAACCGCAAAAATGCCCTATATTCCATTATAAAATTGATTCAGAATCTAGATCTAGACAAAGTTGGGAGGGACTGTCCCATATAAACTTTCCATTTTGTGCAAAATTTTCGTTTACATCGTTCTATTAGTACTCGAGATACGCATGCTGAAACACAGAGAGACAGAGACACACACACGGACCCGATTGCAATATCCGCGCTCCCCCCCCCCCTCTGCGGAGGCGAGGGTAAAGATAATACTTTTGCATAAAAGTGCCATTATACGTTTATTAGATTTCAGTTTCAACTGAAACAATGTGTTTTAAATAATTTGATCTGGTTATCACCGAGTTGATTACTCTTGGCTTCTGATGCATGGGTCATTAATGTTACATGACGAAATCTAGTTCCAAAAACTTTTTATATAAACTATTGTTACGTCTCTGTTCGTTAGTTAATTTTCCGTGCATTCGTTCCGACGAAACTTTAGCGACACAAGTCCTTTCTTAAATAAAACTGGTTTATTATTTCCGAATACAACTTTACGATACACTTAATTTTAACAGTCGCTCTATAACAACGCTATAACTCACGTCTCACGAGGCCAACAATATTTTATCCGCATACATTCAATTACTCATTACCTCCCCGTCGCTTCGTGGCCGGTCTTATATATACCAGACTACCCCCAATCTAGTAATCTCCCAACAATTCACGAAGGAACAGGATATTTCTAGAAGAAGGTGGCGTGATACTAGTCCCGTGACCTCGCTGACCCAACACTATGTTTTACTGAAATGCACCTGTCCGAAGTATGTATAAAATATCGTGAAAAAAGTCCCAGCACAAGGGATATATTCAATTTTTAAAATATCCAACACTAATATAATTCATATCTTGCTTTTTATTTTCATGTAAACAGGTATAAGCCTAAATGTGTCTATGATTGAAAATCGCATGAGTTGTTCATTATAATGTGATAATTCACCGGATAAAAAACTAGGTATAGCACATATTAAACGAATGTTTTGAACTAATTTTACTATATGATATATTCCGAATGGACCTGAAAAGCTCGAATTCTTATTTTACTTTGCAACTAGAATCTTTAATCTGCACATTTTCAAGTGTCTCCAGTGGCTCAACGATAAATCTAAAGCCTTATAAGTCTAAAAACCTTGTTTCGATAGCCGTGATAGGCACAGCATAAATATTCCATTGTGTAGCTTTGCGCTTAACAACAAACAAAACAAAAAAAAACATTTTCCAACTGAACGTAATTACTCACTGTTTAATAATGACTATGCAAAGAATATTGCAGATTAGCTGTGGCATTTACTACACATATTATATAAATAAATCAGAAATAATGTGATTGATGTAGTATAACATAAATTGTTCCACAATTCAATTTTTCACTTCTTTTTTATACAGTCATTGTTGAACATTTAGTTCCAAAGTTCTAAGAATATATTATTAATGTTTTGTAGTTGCTAGGATGTCCATGTAGATATATATTTAATAAATATCAAGTCATATTAAAAACGCTAACATTTGTTTTGATATAACATAATGTTTGTTTTTAATATCGAACAACTCATACTCACAGTTTTTTACTGTGAGGCAACACATAACAGTACAGCAATAAAAAAATGTAAGCATTACATTATATAAAAATCTTTTGATATGATTTCGTTTTATAAATTTACTACTAAACACAGTTCAACACATTATACAACAAAAAAAAAAACGTTCACATAAGACACCTTATTAAACAAAAAAATGGCAAAGACGCAGAACTTTAAAAATACAAATATTTTACAAAGAATCACACAAATATTGGCAGAAATTGGACCGAATGAGATCCCAAGAAGATCATTATATATGTACACCTAAATTTACATAATTGAGATTATACAAATTATTCTGTGTTTATTGTAGCCAGAGCTGCAAAGGACTTTGGATAACGTAATTCAACTACAGAAAGCATATTTTAAGTACCTAAAACAATAAAATGAATTATCCTATCATTTGTATGTATTTAAATATAGATAGATAGTTCTCAAACAACTTTAAGGTATTGATATAAAAATGATGCTTTGATTGAATAGATTATTTAATGTTATTTATAAAATAATTAAACTTATGACCAATATGAAAAAGTTTTTGATATCTTAAATGATTTAATACAGGTATAAAATACGGCTAATAATGGAGAATAAAAGAACTTGGACGATGGAGATCCTCACGGAATGTATACGTTATTAATGTATTAGCCCTCCACCCGGTGGCTCAGCGCCAATCGTATGGGTTTATAACGCTAAAAATCGCGTTTCGATACCCGCGGTGAACAAAACACAGCCCTTTTGCTTAACATCAAACAAAAACAAACTAATGGGTTATATGCGTGAGTGACTGCGAGACTGGAATATTGGTATAAAAATAGTATCTTTTTCATGGCGTGAGTTGTCCCTGTGGTAGAGCTCTGAATGTCTGAACTGGTGAGCTGGGTTCGAATCCGTACAATGCTACAAAATGTTCCTCGTACTTTAAGCCGTGGATGCGCTATGAAAGTGATAGTTTCTTAGCGTTAGTAGTGAGTGGTGTAGTTCTGCTATCTGGCTGCCATCCCTCTAGAGTCTAGACAGTAGTTCAAAATTAAAGACGTCAGCAGTATCTTTACCGTAAATATATTAATTGTTATTATTAATTTAAGTTATTCTGTATAAGGTTGAATACCATAGGTTATATAAACTAAAACTTTATTACAAAGAACAAAATATGATATTAGTGTTGAATTATTGGATATTTGGAAAAAAAAAACTTAATAAATCTAAGCATTTTCAAAAGATAGAACTTTGTTTTAGGGAATAAACTGTGAATGAATAAGTGATAAGTGTGAAAATTTCTCATGTGATATACAGTACATAAGGGGTATCTATAATAACCCACCAGAAAAATACAAAGTATTTATGTTGTTTTGAAAAGGAATGTTTGTAAACTTAACAATGATTTCAAGTATAAAAGAATAGAGCAAAATCAGGCTTTGCCAAGCAAACTAATTAGTAAAAAATCAGTGAAATATTTTAAATGAAATTATAAAGAATGAAGTGATTAAAAATTTCCAAAGAAATCTTGGAATTATAATTGTTTATAACATAACATAAATGTAGAATATGAATATAAATTTGAGTTCCATAGCTAACTAATAAATAAAACAATTAAAGAATAAAAGCCATAAATTATAAATAAATCTCTTTCCAAACTAAAAAAGAAAGACTGTCTTCTTATTGTAGATATTAAAGATAAAAAAACACTTTTATAATGAGAAAGAACAAATTAAAAGTACGAGATTATTAATACTACATGCAGCATCAAATAAATTCCACAAGAATCACACGTAATCAAGGTGGTATTTCATTACATTTTTATGATTGCTGTTTCTATATCAGTTTAGATATTTTCCATCGACAGTATGTGCAACCTAATATACCGCGCGAAGAGAACACCTGTTTTAGCGATAACTATGAAAGATACAGTGTTATTGAAATGTTATCTGAGGATATATTGGGTATTTCCAAGATATTGATAATTAAGATTCCAATGCTGTGTGAGACACATAGTGCTGTATATTTTTCTCTTTGGTGATAGTCATTTTGGAAATTTTTCTCCAAGAGTGTATCTATAGTCTTTATGGTAAATTTATGACAAGAAGGCAATTATTCTGTGGCGAGGCGTAATTAATATTTGCATGAACCAAAATATCAAACATTTTTGTTCTTCCTTAAGAAGATTTCATAGACTTCAGAGAAATTTTGTTTTGACCGATTATAAAATTTGACTAAGGGATTTTCTTTCTCATAGCGCTCGAGATTTTCTTGAGTTTTGGACGATAGGAAATAAGAAGAATCTCACGTGATTCATTAGCGCTGGACTGTTCAAAGATGTTTTTTAAAGGTAAAATAAATTTTATGGCAGTAATGAATATGTCAAAAATGTTTGAAATGGTTCATCGCGGATTGCCAATTAAAGAACATGTCATAGACAATAATTGATATCATTTATAATACTTGTTAATTATAAATGTGAATAAACATCTACTTAGTCTTAGCTCACTAATTTCTATTGAAGTACATTCAAAGTACAGTACAATAGGCAAAAAGGTACATCAAAAACACTTCATAGATAAATCATTCAACAAAAAATCAACAATATTCATCGTTTTTCATTGATCGTTTGAAAATCATCGTCTGTTTCTTTTCTTTTGGATGACCAGTTTCAAATTCTTAAAGAATATAAAAACTTGAAATCGGGCATGCCATAAAAAAGGACAAACAGTAAATATAAACTACAAATCAACAACATTGAAAAAAACGTATAAACTTATAAGGAAACGTATTACAATAAGTAAAAAACTTTAGTTTCAAGGAGAATTTTCTGCATAAGAATAATACATACAGAATGAAACTAAATAAATTGAAAAGGTTATAGATCTCCTTAAGTAGCAGTAGCACCTCGGTTCAAGATTATGTACAACACACACAGGTATTATTCAACATGTAAAGCTGCCGAAACTGTAATCAGTATTTCATACTGAATTTTTTGTGTTTTGTTTTAGATGAAACAATACAGCAGTCACACTGCTTCAATAAGTAAACCTCAGCCTTTATAACATAGAATGAACTGTAAAAGTCTTGTTTATTCTGTTTTTAAAATGCCTTAGCCTATTCAGGTTAAAATTTTCTATATTTAACACATGTACATTGAATTATTATAAACAAAATTAACACATGGATATATGGCAAGTTTTCAATTATAATAATATAATTTAACGTCTTACATTAAAACAGATGACTAGCACGTCTATAATCACTCCCATAATAAATGTACATCAGTGTTTGGCTTATATAAGAAAAAATGCACATTCAATGTTTGGCTGATTAAGAAACGTTTTCATAAAATCACTAGTGATAAATACATGATGCTTTTCATGATTTTTAAGAAATATTTTTGTTGTTGTTCATCTGTCCATCCAATGAACCAATCCTTAGTGTTAGAGAAACTGTTAGTGTGGTGTTAGTTCAACCATACGTGTACGTCGGAAGATGGTTTTGGATAGCTTAGTACACTACCAGTAGAAGAGTTAATCAACTTTGCTGGTGTACTATACATCTTCACTTTCCTTTCTTAATTTTACTTGCCTTTGGAATATTATTTAAATGCTACATCATACTCTTATATATATTTTTTCCTCTTAACGAAATAAATAGCTTCTTCTTCGGAGTGGAATACATTTTTAGTAGAATTCTTTTGTCCACGGGAGTCTGTTCAGTGTGGTGAAAATGGTAATATCAAAGTCTGTTACTGAGACTGAAGTTCCACTAAACGAGTTAAGCGTGCTCCGGAGAGTGTTTGGTTCAAAAAGGAAAATTAAGCACAAACATCTTGGTTACAAGAGGAGGCGCCGGAACTAGACCTTCAATTTTAAGGTAAAACAAACGCCGAAGTCCTTGAACGCTAAGTGTACGCAATTCTGGTAGTTTTGCCAAAATCCGCGGAAAATAATATGGTTTCTTCTGAGCTTCATTGTTATACGTCACGTGATCCCGTAAGGAATTGATGACTTTCATTTGGAGGTGTTCGACTTTCTGAGGATATTTTAGCCCATGTCTCTCTATTAGTACAAAATAAGAAGAAGAAAAATAATTTAATAATTAGCATCAATAGTTTCATGCAAAGGAATGTAGTACAAATTAAAATATATTTTTTATATACAGGGTGTTCGAAAAGTCTGGAACCATTGGCGATTTGAAGCTTTACTTCAGACACGTGACTGAATATGGCGCTGTCTGCTGTGCAGCAGAGAAGGTTGGTCCCAGCGGAAGGATGCTTCCAAATTCAACGCACGTCATACAGGGAGAGAGAAAAATTATCACTCAGAGTACTGTTGAGAAGTTGCTAACTAAATATAAGGAGACTGGTAGTGTGAACAATTCATAATGATACGGATATCAAAGAATTACAAGGACAGCATGTGGAACACACTCCGTAAAATTCGTTGAAGTGCATATATGGTTCCAGTTTTTTCGGTCACCAGTATAAGGAAAGATTTGGGGAAGAATATGTTTGTTTTTCGTCTGTTTGTTCTTAAGCACAAAGCTACACAATGGGCTATCTGTGCTCTGTCTACCACGAGTATCAAAACCCGATTTTTATTGTTGTGAGTTCTGAGATTTATTGCCCAGTCACCTGGGAGCATTGCTTTTAATTGTTAGCTTACTGTGATATAATATATATATATATTTAAAATGATAAGATTAAAAGGTCAGCATGCAAGATAATGTAAGTAGCAAAGAAATTCTACCAAACAGAAATGACGTTTATTAGACCATACTGATCATTTGTTTTGGTTATCCTCGTAAAGCTAGACAAGCGGTCTGTAATTTGGAACTTATTATCTGGTCAACAGTACCCATCGCCAACTCTTAGACTACTTTTATCTGACCGAATAGTGGGAGAATTAAATGTCCCTCCCCGTCCCACCGAACATGCTCGCCCTTTCAGCCGTGGGGGCGTTATAATGTAACGGTCAATCCCACTATTCGTTGGTAAAAGAATAGCCCAAGAGTTGACGGTGGGTGGTGCTGACTTGCTGCCTTCCCTCTAGTTTTACACTGCTAAATTAGGGACGGCAGGCGCAGATAGCCTTCGTGTAATTGACGCAAAATTAAAAACAAACAAACAAATGTCACTCTCATAACGCACTCACTGCCCTAAAGTGCAGAACATATTTTTTTTAGGTAATTGGATGCGAACCATAGACCTTCGGATCAACAGTCCGGCACGCCAACCACTTGGCCATTAAAGCTCAGACCAAGTTGACTTTTTAACTGTAACAGAAATGCCTTAAGACTTTAAGGTTCAAAAGGCAGCTGAAAATATAAAATTCCATTAAAGAGGTGGCGTTACTGTACAGTTTACATTGCCGAATAATAGAACACACACTTTTGTTATGTATTTACAAAAATATGAGACGTTACTTTGCTAGGTAACGAAAATTTTCCCTTTTATCAAACATTAATTTATGTGTATTTAGTTAACTATGAACAGTCACAACGTTTCCTGGATATTTTCACATTCTTTGAAGTAAAAGACAGTCTATATACTAATACGCTTATTCGTGTGCCTGTTACGGAAATATCGTGTGCGCTCATGCGTATTTAGATAGTAAGGTGCGCGCGCGCATTATCATGACAGGCAAAAACTGAGTATAATCATAATAGACTAGCAGGGACCCGCAAGACATTTGTGCACAGAATAGTATCTTTATTGCAACAGTACTTCTTTAAATACAGGATTTCTAGAGTAATACAAAAGAATTCTAATCGCAGACACTGAAATCTTGTCATACTATAATTCTGCTGACAATACGCCTTATAAGCATACGCAGTAAGAATTTTTACCCAGAAATCAGTGCAAGCGCCTGCCTGCGCCATAGAGCTGAAAAGGTCAATGAACAAGTCACTACAAGTACAAATTCTCTACGAATGAAAGAATAACAAAAACAAAAAGTTGATATAAAGATTCTTTGTTAACCATTTAGTACAATAACATTAAAAGCTTGAAGTTTTCAAAAAGGTCTAACGTTAGGCCCTAGAATAACATTATAAGTTTATCTATCAATATTATTAAGTACAGTATAATTTAGTCTTAACTAAGCTAATGTTTAAAAAAAACGAACACAGTACAGTGCTAATTTATCTCTTTCTCGAACTTAGACCTAACAGTAGGTAAGGTTTTATAAAGTACGACCTAAATACAAGTGGACTTGCACATTTTGGTGTCTACTGTTACATTTCGTTTGTATTATTCTACATATCTTATATTCAAAGGAATACTGTTACGATAAAGATACTAATTTGGCAGCAAACGTTTTGCGGGTCTCTGCTACTGTACTAGTTAGCTATTATTATGCTTCTTTTTTTTGGCATTGACGGTAGCGACTCTTATGAGGATTTACGTTTTTTCGTTGCTTCAGATATAAGCATAGAGCTACACAGTAGTTGTCTGCGCTAGCTGTCTCTCATTTTGAACTGATAGACTGGAAGGAAAACTAGAAGGTAGCTAATCAACAGTACCAAGCGCCAACTCTTGGACGACTCTAATCGAATAGTGCCATTTAACTGTCACTCTCATAACGCACCCAAGACACCAAAGTGCAGTAACGTGAAGAGAACAACTGAACCTCGGATTCACAGTCCTAACTGTTCGGTCACGCCTGGCTAGCTCAGTTTGAATAGCAGGCGAGTAAAAAACAAACTCGTTTTAATTCAAGAACTTCGTACATATTTTAACCTTTAAAAGCTATTTGAAAGAGAACTTGATCCTAAATTTTAAAAATGACGATGTTATTTGAAGAACGTTTCTAAATGAATTTAAAATACTGTTTTCTATATTTATTTATCTATAACTATGAAAACACGGTGTCTAAAACTTGATTTCATAACAACTTAAACTTCACTTTTCCTTTGTTTTTGTCGTCAAACTTTAAGGTCAAATAAATACAGTTTCAGAGTAAATATAAAAGTTGCTGTAGTAGTTAGGTCATATGTTCTAGGCTACTGAGAAAACATAGCAATCACAACTAAATATTATGCAGATAATTTTTAAAAGATATATATGGATGAAAAGAAGTTTTATCGTAGAACGAAGAAAAAAATTAGAAAAAAAGACTTTACTTGCGTCAGTCTATTTTTATATATTTAGGTACATGCTCATATATGTTTACACTGAATAATTTAAATGAAACTGATTAGAAGACCTTTACCTGTTATCAGAGTCAAGGCACATAAGCAAGCAAAAGCAGAAATATCAAGTTGTATGTTGTGCAATGCTTGTGAGAATTCCAAAATTGCAGTCAACCAATCTCCGAAACCTCGTCGGCATTGCTCTGTATGAAGGGTTACACCATTGCAAAACGTGATTCTATTTTCTTCAGGTTTAATTCTGTGAAAAGATTATTAAAACCACTGGAACTATTCAAAATGTCAACATTATATATGACGTCTATATCATAAAATAGTCGAGTACTTAAGAACGAAAACAACAACAAGAGAGATGTTTATTATTAAAAAAAAGTTATGAAATGTTTTGTATTAGTTTCCATAATTGCAAGTGCTTGAAAAACGTTTGGGGTATATATGATTAAGTATGCTAATCTAACCAAGTTAGCTTATTAAAGAATAAACCTTATAAACGATATTTAGTAGATGTTTCACATAGTACATTTTTTGGAAGTAAGAACAGTCAAAATGAGGTGTCCAAGTGAGCTTGTGGCTGTATTAAAGTATACGTATGAATTTTATACATGTATACTATTACGGAAGAACACCCAGGTTCGCATAATGCTTTTAAATCAAATAAGTTAAAAATTCATTTCTAGTAATTAATTGTTTTCATTAATAAAATGGTGGTATTCTGAATGTCTGTAACATTCGTGTAGTGTTTGGGCTCTTGTTAACTACAAAGATACATAATGGACTGTCCGTGGACAGTACTTTATTGCTTTACTCGCAATATATTAATTTAATAGCAATTGCCCACTAATAATTTAATTAATATACCTATGTTTATTTATAGGGTGCTATTATCTTGTAAAATTACGTCACATTTCACTTTTTGTAAAATTGCACATACAGCCCTGTGTTCATCATACAGTTCCACATTTTGCTCATGTACACACATAGTTAAGCCTATCTTAACATAAATACTTCTTAAAAATCGAATTAAAACTGTATCAAGGAATTAGTATATTTAAGTGTTTTACACTCACAAAAAGAAACCTATCATTCTATAGGTATTTGAAGAACTTATAGCAATCCGCCACAATTTAATTCTTCGTATTGTTAGCCGACACTGGGCAGCTGGTACATAATTGAATAATGTTGTTTAAACATTTGTTTAACGACATGTAAAAGCTT